GTGCAGATAGCCCTCGTGTAGCTTTGCGCGAGATTCAAAACAACAAACAAACAGTCCCTCACTCGTTTATACTCTTTTTACTCCATCCGTGTTGCGGGTCACGGTGGAGGTACTTGCAGATTACTCCATTCTTCCCCTTCCACTCTCTCTCGATGCCAGATGTTGGGTTCCCGGATCGATCATTCAATTTTTCATATTCTTATCATGTGCCTGTTCATAGGTTGGCAGTACAAGGTTCTCTCCGGTCTCATGAACTTGATGGTATGATCCTCTTTCCTACCCTCACCAGATGGCTGAGTTGTGGAATGCAGTTGACTTACCGATGGTATGATCCTCATCCCACCACCACATGGATGTCTGTTCGTGACAGCATGTGTTTTGAATGTAATTGACTTGTCATGTATGGTCTGTTGCATCCTAGCCACTCTATACCTAGGGGCACATCCTTTAATCTTACCCATTTTTATGTTTTCAGGGATTGAGTTTAATAAATAATGTATGGTTCGCATCATTATCCTTCCATTGTTCTCTCCCATTTGGATGTATTCCTCCATCTTTCCACAATGGGCAAAGAATATATCTGGTTCAAAAGTGGTTCAGTCTCCCACATATGATCTTTGACTCCGAAGATCTCTTCTTAGGGAGAGTCCTTCAGAAACTTTCAAAGGATGCTTCTTTTTTCCTCGCACCAGTCTCTCCATTTATTCAATGTGGGATTCTAGCTATTTATGTAAGAAGAGGTAATGTAACGTATTAAAAGTTATAATTTTCGTATACAGAAAATGTATTTCCGTTCAGTACTTAGCTTCTCCTACACTTCCCATCCTTTATCCCCACTGAAAACTGGTGCTTCCATTTTCTGCCAACACTCAAAGTGATAGTTTGGTAGAATTGAAAAGAGGGAGTCACATGCATCAAAAGAGTGTCGCGCTATTACTGATGAGGGTTGTCGAATAATAATTTGCATGAGAGACGAACTGGAATGACTTGGGTGAGAGTTTCAAGGCTTGTGGCATGCACAAAATTTTTTGTGTAAAGAGGGTAGCACTGAACAAAAATAGCTATTTATGTGAGGAGAGGTAAGTACCTATCGGAAATACATTTTCAGTATAGGAAAATTATAACATTGTTTAGAAAGACGTTATGTTAGAGAAAAGCATGTTTATAGTGATTTCATTCTTTCTCGAGATGTTTAATTGTTTATAGAAATGTTTAGATGTTTAACTGTTTGCAAGAAATGTTGTTTGTTTTGTGTATATATATATATTGTTTTGTAGCGGAACTTAGTAGTTGAACAAATCTAGTCAAAACTGATAACATTTCATTATAAAGAAAAACATTTTTTACTTACCTTTGATTTTTCTGTTGAGAGAGTAGTTTAAACATTATTTTATAAGTTAATAACCAATTTCTTTGCTTTTAGTGGTGTTACTTTTCCAACACAATTGCTTATGCTTTCAACCAGTCAGACCGCACAGAGAGTACCATAGTCTTTTGGAACACACACAACAACGAGGTAAGTTCACGTGTTCCAGAAAGAGAGGAAAGTTGTAAACATTTCATGTCTAGTCTTATGTAACACACACACACAACAATAAGGTAAGTTCACGTGTTTCCAGAGGAGTGGAAAATGGTCAAGATTTCAAATATTAAGAAAAATTTACATACAGGTTGAACATTTTTAAATGAATTACTGTCAGAGTTTGTTGTATGTTTAAAACTCTCACCTATCTCTATTTCTCTGTTAATTTTAAACATTTACATGCTTCCTATACATACTTATTAGGAATTGTTACCAAAATATTGTTTGTACAAATATGGATTTTTTAAAAGTTCTAACATTTATTTTTCTCAACAGAAGTATGTGAAGTACGTGAAACATCTGTTAACCATAGCATCCTATGGTGAGTTCTGTACTTTGGCAACTAAAGCAGACGACAGTGATGGACAGGTATAGCTTTCTGTAAAGTAACTTAAATCTTAATGTATCTTCACAAAATTTGGCAAGCTTTCAGTAAATATTAAACATTTTTTGTAGACAAAGAAATCTGAATATTTGATTGTGTATTATTATTATTAAAACTTCTTCCATAATCATATGGTGTCAGAGTAATGACTGCTCCCAGTGCAAAATGACTTTCATGTTAAGATGAAAAATATTTTCTTTCATCTGAAAACTTTCAAATTCTGAAACAGTACTACCTCCACTCCTCACTCATAGCTATCTCGACCTTCATTTGCCCTCTAGGCATTGGTAAATCTTATGAACAGTGCACCAGTCTTTTATACACCTATATTTTTTGTGTCATTGCAGCAACATGTGTCCATCCTCCACCAATCCCGTTGTGCCCTCTATACTAGCACAGGTAGCTCCCTCTACCATTGCAGCACAATCATCACATCTCAGTTGGCACTAAAGTGTTCAGATGGGTGTTTTCAGTTGTTGTTTAAGCAAAGTTTGATGCAGTTTTGTGTGTGTTCTTGCTAGTTTTCACTTTTAATGGAACTACTTTTTCATTTAGTAGTTCCTTTACAATTTTTTTTTATAAATTAGAATTTTTATGTGGCAGATTAAGAAGTTCCCACCAATATGGAGGAAACTCATGTCATTAGTCCCCAGGCAAGCAACTTGCCAACGTCAGCCGAGGAGACTCGGGTGTTAATTCGGCAGGAGTTGGACATTTTCACTGCATCTTCTGCTTGTTCTCCCATCCCCCGGGACCATGCTCTTTTGTCAGTAGGAGGACAATTTCGGCTCGGTTTTTCCTGCCCCAGTTTTATTCAGTCAGTCACACAACACTGACAGTCAGGAGAGTCTGCCAACCTTGGCTTTCTCACACCTTATTGATCAGGTTTGTCAAATTTTACATGTCTCCCCTCTAGCCCAAGGTTCTTCTACTTCTTCCTTGCTGGGAGAAGAGCCTCGTTTTGATTATTATTATTTTTTTCCTCTCTCAACATTTTTGTTCATGCTCAACGTTTTCTGCTCAAGTACAGTTGGGAGTTGCTATGCCTCACCCCCCTTGGCTTTTGGACCATTTCTTATTTGATTACGAACGTGCCTTGAATACCTATTTGGATTCTCAGCATTTAGACCCACTCCTTCCCTTGTGGGGTTCTAGTCCTTATGCCTTGGTTCATTTTAATAGGTCCCAATTTACTATAATTCGCATGACATTGACCAATCTTTTACATGTTCTTTCCTCTTTATAGTTGTTGTCTCGGGGCTTTCACCAGAATCCTGATCAGTTCTTAGCCAATCTTTGAACCCTCTTGTAGTCTACTAGGGCCTAGTTGTCAGCTTCAGCCTTGTCCCTCACCACTTGGATTTTGGGTTGTTGGGATTTACTCTGGAGTAATGTGTTACTTACAGGGGTGTATCTCCCCTTTTTGTCATTATAGAAACTTCATCAGACCCCATTTCTACACGAAATGGTCCTTGGGTGTCTTCCTGAGTCTTTGAAGTCCAGGGACAATGTGGGAAGATTACATTCTTCTTTTTCCTCCCTTGCTTCTTGTTTGTCTCGCCCTACTGATTTTGCTCCATCTTTGCCTGTTTGAGTGCCCTGTGGTCCTTCTTTGCCCCATCCTTTTCACTACTTCCGACGTTCCCTTCCGTGTGCCCATTCTTCTCATTTCTCTCCTCTCAACCTCACTGTTATCAGTGACAGGATGTCTTTCTATG